ACAGGATTCACAAAGAGGTTTGTGGGATCAGATTTAGCAATCATGTGCATCGAGGATGTCAGGTCGAAGGGAGCGGTAGGATGACCTGTCTGGTCAGGGATACGTGGCATCCACTGCCCAGCTGACATGAAGGAAGCAAGGGAACAAAGCAAATTGGAGAAATCGTTGCTTGTTTGATTCGTGTTAACTTCAACGTCCGGATTGGAATCACGTGTATCCATAGGTAGAGTAAATGGTGCCGGATGCTCCACAGATTCGGGGGGCGTTTTCGAATGCCCATCTTGGGTTAGACTGTTCTCATTCAATCCAGGAGACGGATTGTTTTGGGTAGTGGATCGCTGAATAGTGTTGGTCGTGGCTGTCGCAGTGACGGTAGTAGTGATGCCACCATTACCTGATCCATCGGACTGGTTAGTCACAGTGGGCCATCGATCAATAATACCATCCAGAGGGTGAGTGGGTATCCCTCGAGCACCTGGTTTGGTGGTCAACCCGTTCTGTGCATAGATCAAGGAACCCAAACGTTCGCTCGTATTATTCAGATTGTTAACCGCGGTCGAAGTGACAACGGAGTCCTCATTCTGCGGACAAGTACAGTTCGGTGACGAGTCCATGTGTAACGCAGTCCCCGGGGGTAAATCCCAGTCTGTGCTTGGTTTCGTATCTGTCGGCGAACAGTCAGTTAATAGTGGTTCCATTGGAGGACGTGTGGAGGCTGCATTACTCGAAGCCTCCTGACAGATCTTGATCAAATTTCGAAGACCCATAAATTGATAGACAAATTTGTGTCCATGCACCTTACGTATGATATTCTTCTCGTAATAGTATCGCAACGCACGACTGAGTTTGTCGTAATTCATTCGATGATTTCGATCCTTATATAGTCCCCAGAGTTTGGCAACCGCTTCAGCTTGAAGTAAAATAAATTCACCTTTCTTATTGGTCCACCGAATGAGGTTTCTGTATTTGTTCGATAATAACAGTTCAAGTAAGAATTGCCATAGCGTCAGCTTGCCACCATTCGCACCTAAGTCCGAGACCTGTGGAATAAACAAAGCAAAGAAATAGCACATTACAAGGTCAACCGCAGTGCACACAGTGTGCCAAAGGTTTAACGTCATCCTTCATACATATTTTATTACAATATAAGAAAATAATGGTCAGTGAGTTAGTGTGAATACTTTGGAGTATCAAGCTTGAATTAGCCCATTCGATTGTTCAGAGGGACTGGGCAGTGTAGCTCAGGGCTAAGGGTTTGAAGTCCAACCCGAATGTTCGCGATTCGAGTCCTGATAGGGACACAAAAGTACATACTGGTGATGAGTCCCAAACAGGACGAAATAGTGTGAATATTGTTCTCAGTTTAAAGAACTCCGCACACGAGTGTGTTGCATTAAGGGCGGGCATCCAGCTATACGTTTACAACAGCCACCTACGCACGCACACGCACACACACGATCTGTGAACACTAGTCAGATAAACACACCGATAGGACAACTCATCCTGTCACATGACTAGCGTGACCGTTCAACCCGAATTACCACAAATGATTTTTTTAATTTACCTATCGATACTCAGTTGTCGATATAGCTACTATCTAGTCACGACTACGTGGAAACAACTGTCTCCGTATCCCAAATGGTTCGAGGACGACCAAAGCCGCGAACTGACTGACTGCGCGATGCAGAATTGATAACATTAGACTGTCACGTTTGCTCGTACTGGATTCTACACTAGCGCAACTGTTCCCGTAAACCCACTTCAGGGTCCCTAAGAATTTGCTTCAGAACTGTATGCTGATTTATGAAAAGTCAGTTAGTTGGTCATGTTTTTAATTCATCCAAAGACCATTAAAATAGCAACTTTTTCAAACGACTAAACGAAAAACCATGAAATTGAATGGATATATGGGATAGGGAAGATAAATGAGTTCAGTCAGTGCTCGTGATTTTAACCGGGTAGTCAAATGTAAATCCACTAGAAACATAAGTAAGTGGGTAGTCACCGAAACGATATCAACTCGTAGCATGAACCTCTTTGCCTGTTCAAAAATCTGGGTAACTCGTTTTAAAACCGCTTGAACACCAACCTCGGGGTTGCTCCAGTCCGTCCACTAGACTGAATCCCAAACTCGATTGTGATTTAGGATTGGATGTATGATAATGATGGGACGAATGATCCAAAGCGGAACCTAACCACCAGCATACTACTCGCAGTGCGGATGCCACTATGGTTGGAAGTGTCGAAGCATTTAGAAACAAGTAGATCAGCCCAACTGACAAGCGGCATTGATGCCAACGAACCCGAGCTATGAGCCCAGCTTTTGTTTCCAATCATTTACTTTACTTTTGGATATCTATCTCCTGCTAGAGAAAGCCTGTTTGATGGAAAAATCAATAAATAATCTTGATAATACACTGATATCTCTATCTCCATTAGGTCTTTTCTCGAGACTGCACCTACATTCCTGACACAGACAATGGCTTTCTGTAGAGTAACACGGGAATGAATATGGCCTCGGTTGGCAGTGAGCCAGCTTCGCGCACGTCAATATGCATTCTGTTATCATTAATAGCTTTCCGTCGCAGGAAGATAGTTCACCAGGCGAAAATCATCAATATTCTCAGATATCATCCCTGATATTGAACGACAATTTGGCTACCAAAGCGATACCGACTTATGCAGGATTTAACGCACACGTGTTAATTTGTCCACCAGCGATTTGGAGATGCATCCGGTGGTTTACAGCTACTCTGATCGTACAATTGCAGTAGACTTTCTAATCCTGAATCTAGGACCGGTGGATTATGAATAGTATGCTGCAAGAGAATGATAGACTTGATTTAGCAAAACAAACCACTTTGGTATTTTCGGAAGGTTGAGAATATTCGATATTCGGCACCAGTTGAAAGGCCAGAGAAGGAAGAATGGCATCAATCGCACACTACCACCCATTAACTTCTCTGACCAGGAAATCGTGCCTGTAATGTAAATGAAACTTAGGCCTAGTTGGCTCAAGTAGGGTGGTGCACCCAAACCTGCATAGTAGACCTGATTCGATGACGGGTTCCAAATTTTCAGTTTCATTTTGCACAACGATTACCCTTACATCGTAAAATGCCACTTTTGTTTGCTATCTGTTGACCAATCACTTTGTCGACAAATGAAGAAGTAAACAGCTCAGACATAGCATACAGTTAAACTAAATGCGCGGGAACATGAGGGAATTCCGCTGCTTTGGGCTGGAGTTAACAGCTAGTCGATTCTGTAGGATCTGACTAACCGCGGCTGAAGGGGACTACTCAACAAACTGGACTATAGTCAGCCTCAGTATGGGCTGGTTCGCACACCCACAGACACCCACACACACACATATATCTTCCATGCGAGAAGTTCCAAGCTTCAATCCCGAAAGAACCCGTGGATGTGTACTGTTGATGAATCGTGACAAGAGCGATACTCGACTATATGCCTGGGTGAACTGAGGATTGTGTATGAAAATGTGTCGAATCAGCAACACTGATAAAACTCCATTTTTCATAGATGACTGTGAACCGAAAATGTAAACGAACTGTAAAATCTCAGTTAGAAGAATGTATAGAACTTTGAACTTTGTACCAGGGCTGGAATACAAACATAGATAAGAAGATTCCATGATCACGAGATGAGACATTTCTAGTCTCCACCATGGAATCTTTCATTGTTATCGTGAATTAGATTACCCCAGGAACCCGCACATCAGATCGTCTGAAACCATACTCAGATGCAGGTAAATGGTATAGGCATTTTACCCATCGTGAATGGCTTTGTGTTGAACGGAACAGTACACGACAATGGACTCAACGAAGATGGATATTCCAGACGTAAATTTCCTGGATCGTGCTGAATTATTTATCATTCTTCGCATTTAACTCACAGTTATTTGTGAGAAGTGGTGTGGGATATTTGACATTAATTGATTTGAACTAACTATCCTTAGAACTTCACCTTCACGCATAATCCTCAGTTCATCCAATCAACCATAAACTCGGAAGCACTAGACTCGGGTTCCGCTCTTATTAGAGCTCATCAGTAGTGCATATCCACCATCCCGTCCGGGATTTGAGCTCTGGACCCATCGCATAGAAGGCGTGTGTATTATCTTTGTGCTAACCACCTAATATCATGGCTGAACGAAATTAACACTTCATGTTTGTTCAGGTATCGTCTTCAGTGATAGTCTGTCAGTTGATTTGGCCCGAAACTCGAGTCTAGTACTTCCAAGTGTATTGCTGACTGGATGAACTGAGGATTATGTGTGGAGATGAAGTTCTGAGGGTAGTTATTTCAAATCAATCAATATTTACCATTCGTCATCCCAACAATGTTTGACCATGTATAATATTTGATCAAGGGTTGCACTTAGTCAGGCCCAGTGCCATAATGATGTCCAAGAGACTACGGCTATAGTTGCAGTATTATTTGTAGCAAAATTGGAAATGTGTTTATAGTGCCATTTCCATCCAGTGTATATTTGCGAATGAGCGTAGAGACTCATATTCTTTGAGAAAAGAAATGCTGACTGATTTCCAAATGGAAAATTTTTCGAAACCGCGGTTGTAGCTACTCGGTTAGTGTCAATAGGTGGTACCTGACTTTGCCTTGAGTGAATTGGTTCCACTATTCACATCACGTCTCACAAAAAGATCTCCTGAGTATATGTACCCTTGGATTGCCAACAACTGTTCTGTGACAAAATTCAATCTATTCGGCCCGATCAACGCGAAAACCGCAACTCTTGGAGGTCGTATGCAATCCTATTGGAAAGGTGTATTCTGAAAATGAACAGGAAGAAAAATGATCGAGATTCGTGACGACAAAAACAAGAGAGAAAGAAAGACCTGTGGATACAGGAATTAGGTGCTTTGGGGGTGGGTGGGTGGGGTGAGGGTGTAATTCTTGAATGAGAGTGGAAAAGAGACAAGTGTTGCACGTCTTCTGCATAGTACTCAATGCTCGTTCTCATTGTCTCGTGTGCACATTCGCTTTATCGAACTATGACGCGACATATATGGAACATTCAGCGCGTTTTCTAGGGTAGTAGTTTTCCAGACCAGTTATCATTGAATTACGATTTTGGGCTTTGGAACATAAACCTCGTATTCGGGTCCGTAAAGAATAGATGAAACCTTGGCGTGGATCAGACGTGTTTCGCCCGAGGAGATCCAAAGGACGAGAGTAAAACATCAAATGACACTCATGAGCTCGGTCACCGGGGCAAAAATGCTATGTTCCATTGTGGTTCAGATACCGCGTATGGGGCGTGCAATTGAGATACGGATTGCAATCCCATATTACACACAGAGAGAGTCTGGACAGGGATCGGCCACCAGAAATTCATTTCGCAGCGATCAGCGGACAGCTTTTGAAATCCAAATGGTCTTAGCTCAAACTATTGAATTGTTTGCAAAAGAAAAATTGAAATGCGATCAAATTTCGCTTTTGACGACTAACAAAGAGCACTAGACACCTTATTCTTTTTGATTGAGAGTCATTGACCGTGCGTTTTGTGTTTATATCCCGGACAGGGGCTCGAACTCCACACCCACAGGTTGGAATTCAAATCTGGTTACATAACTCACGGCTAGTGATTTGGAAAACCAAAAATAATCGCTCCACTTTTTCATTGCGGAGTTCGAAATAGCACATTCCGTCTTCAGGAAGAAAGGTGTTGTCAAACAAAAGTAGTTTGGGGATATAGAAAGTGAGGCAGCTGACCGGGTTAGGTCAGGTATTCGAATACACTACCTTCTAATCGCCATCATGATCACCCTAAATACTTGACCATCACCACCACCGCCTAAGACCAGTGACTTCACTC